ATACGTAATTTGAAACAATTCCGGTGAACAATGACGATAAAATCATCAAAATACCGAATATTGGGAGGTACCGTTATATGGGGGCTATACGAAGACGTGAACCTGCATAGACAATTTTCTGTCATAGGCTGTAGTATCCATCACGAACTTCAAATACCAAATTTGAAACAATTCCGGTGAGTAATGTCGCTAAAATAATCAAAATACCGAATATCGGAAGGTACCGTTATATAGGGGCTATACGAAGACGTGGACCTGCAGAGTAAATTTTCTGTCTTAGGCTGTAATATCCCTTTGGAACTTCAAATTATCAAATTTGAAACAATTCCGGTGAATAATGTCGCTGAAATCATCAAAATACCGAATATCGGGAGGTGCGGTTATATGGGGGCTCTACGAAGACGTGGACCTGCACAGACAATTTTCTGTCATAGGCTGTAATATCCCTTTGGAACTTCAAATTATCAAATTTGAAACAATTCCGGTGAATAATGTCGCTAAAATCATCAAAATACCGAATATCGGTATATATCATATATATACGAGGGCGTGGACCTATATAGCCCATTTACGAACTTAACCTGTCTACTGGAAAAATAAACATATGTGCAAAATTTTAGCCTTTTATCTCAATTCGTTCGAAACATAGCGTGATTACAACAGACAGACGGACATCGCTATATCCGCTTAGAATTTTACGCTGATCAAGAATATATATACTTTGTTGCGTCTGACATGAGTATTTTGAGGAGTTACAAACGGAATGACAAAGTTAATATACCCTCCATAGTATGGTGGAGGGTATAAAAGTATCCGTCGGGTTTGCCGACAAATGTAGACCTTCAGCCAATGTTCGATTATTTAAAAATATTTTGCCTTCTGTTATGATTATTCAAATGCCTAACCCCTTATGCAGTAGGTTCGGACTTTAATAAATATGAAATAAATGTTGCGACGTGCTAGGTTTGGACTGCGTTGTGTTAGTGGAGATTTTGGGATTTACCAAGTCTTGAATAGATTCGGATGTCAATTTCGCTTTTTATGCGCTTAATGGATATTCAAAATTTTGAGCCTTTGTGGGTGAGGTACCAGAAGCAGTGTACCATTATATCCCATCTTCACAACGGATCTTTTGTTAGTGGAAATAATGGGATGTGTGAAATATAAAGAGAACATAATGCTTATTTCGGATTTTATAAACGTTTTGGTTATTTAAAACTTTAAGCTTTTGTGGGGGAGGTACCAGGAGGAATGGTCCGATCTCTACCGTTTTTTCAACAGGTCCTGTGTTGATAGAAATACTCAGATGTGCCAAGTCTAAATGGAATCCGATGTTAATTTCGCATTTTATGAGATTAACCGATATTCAAAATTTCGATCTTTTGTGGGGCAGGTACCAAAAGGAGTGGGCCGATATTGTCCATTTTCGCACTTGACCTAGCACTGATGGAAATATTGGGATGTGCAAAGTTGGAGCAAAATCGGATAATCCTTTCTCTTTCTGTGCAAAAAATGTATTTTTTGAAAATTTTGACCTTTTGTGGGGGAGGTACAAGAAGGAGTGGACATATATTTTAAATCTTAACACCAAACCTTGAGTTAATATAAATATTGGGATATTTGAAATTTAAAGACAAACGGACTTTTACATCACATTTTATGAGAGGGGTAATTATTCAAAATTTTGACCCTTTGTGGGGGGAGGTACTTGATGGAGTGGACCGATATTGTCCATTTTCACACCAGACCTAGCACTGACGAAAATATTGGGATGAGCAAAGTTGGAGCAAAATCGGATTATCCTTTATATTTCTGTGCAAAAAAATATATTTTTGAAAATTTCGACCTTTTGTGGGGGAGGTACCAGAAGGAGTGGACCGATATTGCCCATCTCCGAACTCGATCTAAGTTTGACAAAAATATTACGATGTACCAAGTTTGGATCAAATCGTATACTCCCTTTGAGAGTTATCGTGCGCACCAGCCATACAGACGGACGGATGGACGGACATCGCTGAAACGGATTTGGTTCAAAGAGACCTAGGGTCTAAAACCATTATTTCGACTAGGCACGTTTTGGCCGTATCAAATTATATATACCCTCTGTAGCCATATGGCTGATGGTATGATTATACTGAGATCTAAACGTTATAAACAGAATAAAAAAGTAATGAATACTATATGTGGTAGCGCCTACCATAATCATTATTGCCGCTTCTTCTAAGGCAGCCCCACAATGTTGGCTTCTCCCTTACATTTTCCAATAGACTTCGTTTTTTTTACAACAGCCATTACCTTTTATGTAGATTTCCTTGTTTCCCTACCAGCCAAACACACAAATAGTTTCGCTCCTTCAAATAAAAAAATCCGAATTTTTTTCCTTCTTTGACTTTGCTCCACTGATGATACCATTATTCGCTTTAGATCGACAATTAATGTGGCCAGTCAATTCCTCTAGTGTTTGCTCCGACATTGTCCTTTTTTAACGTCATTGATTGCTCTTAATGTGGTCTGGCCTTAAGGATGAATTCAATATCCGGCATTTCTTTACAAATTTTATGCCATTCAATAGAATTGTTGTCTAATTTGTAAAAAAAAAAATGAAAATAAATTCCCAAGATGCCTTTGTAGTTTTTATGGATTACAAATTTATAGGATAATTAATACATATGTATAGGTGCATAGTAATTCGGTGGGAATTCGTCGATTTAATTCAAAAAGAGACGAAATTAAGACAAAGAAAAAAATTTTAAAATATTTATTTTGAACAGCGATGGCTTTTTTTTGTTGAATTTATTATACAACCAATGAGTTATGGTCACATGACAATATCATGAGTTATTTCCTAAAATACAGGGTGAAATAAAAAAAAAACCGGCAACAAAGTCAAACCCCATACTTTTTACTTTTCCTTTAAAATTTTATTGAATGAAAGCAAAAAATGTCGAAAAGAGCATCAAATTTTAGAATGAGTTTAGATTTGTTCGAATTGGTCACCTTTGGCACGAATTATGGCCTTCAAAGGGCCAATGAAACCGTCACACGCTGTCGGAATATCATTAAATTTTAGAATAAGTCCAGATTTGTTCGAATTCGTCACCTTTGGTACGAATTATGGCCTTCAAACGGCCAATGAAGCCGTCGAATGTTACTGCCCGAATGTTAACCTGCGATATTTTTGGCCCATTTCCGGCGAAGCGCTTGCAAAAAATGTCGGAAATAGCATCAAATTTTAGAATAAGTTTAGATTTGTTCGTCACACGCTGCCGGAATGCTCTCCATTATACTATGGAGAGTATATTAACTTTGTCATTCCGTTTGTAACTCCTTGAAATGCTCATGTTAGACCCAACAAAGTTTACATATTCTTGATCAGCGTAAAATTTTAAGTCGATTTAGCCATGTCCGTCTGTCTGTCTGTATGTCCGTCTGTCCGTCTGTTGTAATCACGCTATCCTTCGAACGAATTGAGATAGAAGGCTAAAATTTTGCACGCATATTTACTTTTCCAGTAGTTAAGTTCGTAAATGGGCCATGTAGGTCCACGTTTACATATAACCCCCATATAACGGTACCTTCCGATATTCGGTATTTTTATGATTTATTCACCGGAATTGTTTAAAATTTGGTGTTTGAAGTTCGTAGTGGATACTACAGCCTATGAGAGAAAATTTTCTGTGCAGGTCCATGTCTTCATATAGACCCCATATAACGGTACCTCCCAATATTCGGTATTTTGAAGATTTTAGAGTCATTATTCACCGGAATTGTTTCAAATTTGGCATTTGAAGTTCGTAATGAATACTACAGCCTAAGACAGAAAATTGTCTGTGCAGGTCCACATATAACGGTACCTCCCTATATTCGGTATTTTCATGATTTTAGAGTCATTATTCACCGGAATTGTGTCAAATTTGTTATTTGAAGTTCGTAATGGATACTACAGCCTATGACAGAAAATTGTCTATGCAGGTCCAGGTCTTCGTATAAGCCCCTCATGCCAGTACCTCCCTATATTCGGTATTTTGACGATTTTAGGTACAATACCCACCTAAATTGTTTGAGACGCGTATTTGAAGTTCGTAATGGATACTACAGCCTATGGCAGAAAATTGTCTATGCTGGTTCAGGTCTTCGCACAGCTCCGATATAACGCTATACCCTACCTCACTATATACAATATTTTGATGATTTTAGCTACATTATTCACCGTTTATTTCAAGTTTCGCAGTTGAATATGGTAGTGACTTATGACAAACAATGCCCATGTAGGTCCACGTCGTATAGACCCCAATATAACGGCTATGTCCGGTATTTTTAAAATTTTAACAGATTTTTTTTAAGGATTTTATTTTGTTGAAAATTTCCAAATTTGTTCCAAATGTTGGAGGGTATTCAAAGTTCTGCCCGGACGAACTTACTGTTTTTTAACTTGTTTTTACTGACCGCATTTCAAGCGTCAACCTTATTTTCCAGCCTAGATGCCTGGAAATTTATAGTTTTGAAAAAAAAATCGATAATTGTCTCAATTTCTCAGTTGAATTGGTTATTATTAAACTTTCCATTTGTCCAGCGGAAGTTAACACAGCCTTCATTTGTTGCCTCTACTTATTTAAAATAAATGATGAAAACGTTTTTTTTTATCAAACTGAATTCCACGTTTTTTTCCGATACTCAAAAGAGATATATTTCTTAAAATTTATTTTTTTTTTTTTAATTTTGATGTAGCAATGCAAATCAGATTGAATTTCATATTATTTCACATCTTATCTTAAAATTCACTAGGGAATTACTTCTGTTTTTTTTTTTTTTTTTTTTAGAGGTTACTTGAAACAAAAGCCCATGCCCAGAAAACCTTAATATGATAAGCTCTTCTAAATTTCCTAATTTCTCAGAATTCCAAATATATTTTCAACAGCGAATCACGAATCCGATTATTTTATCCATATTTTACTGCCGAAAATTAATTTGTCGTTCTTTGCTTCTTTTTCTTATTCTAGGCTGCCTTAGGACCCATTGCCTTGGATATGGCACGTGAACTTAACTCGGATGCAGATGTTGTTGCCTTGGCCAATAATGTTTTAATCATATCCGTTTTGGCCATTATATTCACAGCACCATTGGGTGCTATTTTAATGTTACGTTTAGCTCCGAAATGGCTAAAACACGGTCCAGCAGATGGAGAAGACGGTGGCGGCGATGAGGAGGATGGCCGCAATGGGAACAGCACACAGCGGGCAATGCCAATCTAAAACCGCAATCAATGTCAGTTTAATAGCAAATCATAAAGTTGATACAACAACAACAACAACAAAGTAACCCAAAAGCAATGAAACAAGAGAAGGCAAACCAGAAAATAAAAAAAAAAGGAAAAATCATGCATCAAACCCCCAATAAACCATCCATCCACCCACATAATTCAATATTCATGCTGCTTAGCAGAGGAAAAGAAGACAACACGAGAAAAATAATTTCTTTTGATATCACCACACTTCGTTGTAACATTTCATTTTGTTTTTTTTTTTTCCCAAACTCACCGTAGACAAGACGTCGGACGATGTCGATGACTAGGATGACACTGCGCTCTGCTGTCGTCCCTCTCCCGGTTGTCGACAATGACTTTGATGATGCCGTTCCATAGAACCATGACGTTGACTTTGATTTGAATTAATTCAAAAATTGGAAGAAAAGCCAAGAAAAATAAATAAAGACGCGTCATGTGATCAAATGAATAAATAAACAAATAAAGGAACATCAATCGTCGACGGCCATGTTAAATAAATGCGATTTAGGCTCAAATTTAAATTTATTCAAAGAAAAAAAATAAAACAAAAAGTAAAATTTTCAGGGTGGTAGTAAAGTAAAACTTCGTTTCACGAAGCGTTTTTGTGAACAAATTTAAATGAAATTTTAGTAAAATTTAATAGAAATAAATTAAGAAAAAAAAAAGAAACTTAAAGGCCACAAAAATTCAACAATTTGCTGTGAATATAACTTATTGTAGATTTTAATTAAATATATTTGTACTTACTTATTGCATTGTATGCATTTATATGTGTTTTTTTGGAAATCAATAAAGTTTACTTAATTTATGAAAAAAGGTATTTTTATTAATCTATTTAATAATACATATATAAACAGGGCTGAACGCTTGTATGGGTGCTGTACTACTCTATTATCAGCAAAATGTGCCAAATGTGGGGTTACAGGAATACGTTGACCAATGTAAACAATACCAAATTTTAAGCAAATCCAATATTTAGGTATGGTCGTCAAAATACAGAATACCCAAAGGTACCGGACAAATTGTGTCGCTTGCTAATTTTTTTTTCAAATTTTTAAGACAAAAATCGGCAAATCTGCATTTTTTAGTTTTCAGTTTTTTGGAAAGGAGATTTAGAACAATTTTAAATTTGGTATTGATTAAAAAAAAAAAAAAAAAAAAAAACAGGTAAAAAAGCTGTAAGTTCGGCCAGTCCGAACTTTCTTTACGGCGTTTTTTAATTTTTCAATTTTTTAAGGAGATTTAAAACGATCTTAAATTTGGTGTTGATTAAAATAAAAAAAAACAAGTAAAAAAGCTGTAAGTTCGACCAGACCGAACTTTGAATACCCTCCACCATTTGGAACGAAATTGGCAATTCTAAAAAACAATAAAATCCGTTAAAAATTCTGTTAAAATCTAAAAAATACCGAATGTATCTATGATATTAGTGTCTATACATTACAATATTCAAATGCCAAACTTAAAAAATCGGTTGTCGATAAATTCAAAATACCGAATATCGGCAGGAACCGTTATATGGGGGCTATACGAAGACGTGGATCTGCACAGACAATTTTCTGTCATAGTCTGTAGTATCCATTACGAACTTCAATTGCCAAATTTGAAACAATTCCAGAGAATAATGACGCTAAAATCATCAAAATAGTGAATATTGGGAAGTACCGTTATATTGGGGCTACAGAAAGACGTAGACATGCACAGACAATTTTCTGTATTAGGCTGTAGTATCCATTATGAACTTCAAATACCAAATTTGTAACAATTCCGGTGAATAAATTCGCTAACATCATCAAAATTCCGAATATCAGGAGGTACCGTTATATGGGGGCTATACGATGACGTGGACCTGCACAGACAATTTTCTGTCTTAGTCTGTTACGAACTTCAAATATCAAATCTGAAACAATTCTGGCGAAAAATGTCCCTAAAATCATCAAAATACCGAATATCGGGAGGTACCATTATATGGGGGCTCTACGAAGACGTGAATCTGCACAGACAATTTTTTGTCGTAGGCTATAGTATCCATTACGAATTATAAATACCAAATTTGATACAATTCCGGTAAAAAAATGTCCCTAAAATCATCCAAAATACCGAATATCGGGAGCTACGGTTATATGGGGGCTATACCAAAACGTGGCACAATACCAAAAGTTCTGCAGACATAACATACATTTGAGCAAAATTTTATCAATCTACTTCAATTCGTTCGGAAGCTAGAGTGATTTCCACAGACGGACAAACGAACGGACATCGCTAACCATAGTATGTCCGTCTCTGGAAATCATTCTAGCTTCCGAAATAAATAAAGTAGGTTGATAAAATTTTACTCAAATGTGTATTATGTCTGCAGGACTTTTGGTATTGAAAATGGGCCATGTAGGTCCACGTCTTCGTATAGCCGCCATATAACGGTACCTTCCGATATTCGGTAATTTGAAGATTTAAGCGACATTATTCACCGGTATTGTTTCAAATTTGATATTTGAAGTTCGTAACGGACACTACAGCCTGTGACAGAAAATTTTTAGTGCTGGTCTAGGTCTTCGTATAGCCCTCATACAACGGTACCTCCCGATATTCGGAATTTTGATAACTTACGCCACATTATTCTCCGGAATTGTTTTAAATTTGGTATTTGAAGTTCGTAACGGATACTACTACAGCCTGTGACAGAAAATTGTCTGTGCAAGTCCACGTTTTGGTACGACCCCCATATAATGGTACCTCCCTATATCCAGTATTTTGATGATAGCTACATTTAGCTACATTATTCACCGATTTTTTAAGTTTCGCATTTGAATATTATGTTTAAAGTTGCCTATGCAGGTCCACGTAGTTATATTTTTAACGGTTTTTATTTTTTTTAATTGTTAAATTCGTTCCAAATGGTGGAGGGTATTCAAGTTTCGGCCTTGCCAAACTTACAGCTTTTTGACTTGTTTTATTAAAAACTTTGTCCCTTTGTGGGGGAGTTACCAGAAGGAATAGTCCGATCTCTGCTTTCTTTATAATAGATCTTCTGTTGATAAATTATTGAGATGTTCCAGGTCTGAATGAAATCGGATGTCTATTTCGCGTTTTAAGAGCTTCAAGCCCCCAGACCTTGGGTTAATAAAAATATAGTTATCTGTGTAATTTGGAGACAATCGGACTTTTACACAGTATTTTATACGAGTTATAATTATTGAAAATGTTGATCTTTGTGGGGCAGGTATTTGATGGAGTGGACCGATATTGTCAATTTTTGCACCTGACCTAGGACTGATAAAAATATTAGAAAGTTGGAGGAAAATCGGATTATCCTTTCTCTTTCTGTACAGTAAAATATGTTTTGAAAAATTTTTTGGGCGAGGTACTAGAAGTGGTGGACCATTATTGTCCATCTCCGAACTCGATCTAAGTTCGGTAATAATATTACGATGTACTATGTTTGGATCAAATCAGACACTGCCTTCGGCGCACCAGCCAGACGGACGGACGGACATTGCTAAATCGACTCCAAATATCCTGAAACGGATTTGGTCCAAAGGTACCTAGGGTCTAAAAGTGTTATTTCTATGAATCACGTTTTGGCCGTATTAAATGATATATATCCTCTCTAGCCATATGACTGAGGGTATAATTAAGTATGGTTCACAGACTATTACATTTCCATATATATTTATTTAATTTCGATTTTGAGCCAAAAAACTAAATTCTTAACTGGTGCGTTGCTAATTAATTGTAGGTCTGACTGAATGGTATGTCCAAAAATGTATCTAACTAATTTATTTAAAAACATACCTTTCGATGTTGCAATTTTAATTTTTTTATTTATTTATTTATTTTTTTTTTTTGTATGTTGGTTTATTTTTGAAGCATTTTGTTTTAGTCTACCTTTTGAGTGACTGAAATATATATTTTATAAGAATATATCTTTTTGTTTTACTTCAAAGAAAGATATCTAAGCCAGAGCACCTTTTTGCAGTTTTCATCAGCAACTGCTTGCTTGTCATAGCAACAAATATAAATATTTCTTGTTGTTATTGCAAACATGTCCAGCAAAGCAAGCAATTTAACTTGTCTGTCAATATCAACGTTACACATTTTTTAATATGCCTTTTTCTTAGATTTTTATATTTCAACATGAGCAACAACCATTTTGTGGCAAATACAGATGAACCACGGAAGACGCAGGGAAATTACTTTTTGCACTTTATACTAATTTGCTGACTTCAGCATTGCCATTCGCTAAATTATAGTAACCTCGAATGGATATTATGGACCAAAATAGGTGTTAGTAGCGGTAACATATACCAAATACAGGGTGAGATGAAAAAAACTGCAACCAGTAACAGCTCATTATATTGCTTGCAAACGTACAAAAGCATTTTGGTGAGAATTTTCCAGAAAAAAAAAATTATTCGTGAGGCAATTCAAGATTTCTTTTTATTTGGCTGGAGAACCACAAGTGGCTACCGTTAGAGCACTCCAGAATTTAAATGTGAATAAATCTTCTGTGTCTCGTACCATCGCTCGTTACCGTGATAGCGCGGTAGCGCAGCCCGACGTCAAGGAAGTTGACGGAAGAAAACAGCAACATCAGCAGAAATGATTTGAAATGTTAAAAGCGACATGATCGAAACCCGCGTCGCAGTTGCCAAAAATTTCTCGTGAGCTGAACATATCGCAATATTCAATTCGGCAAATATTGAAACATGAGCTCGGGATAAAACCATTGAAATTCCTAAAAAGGAGCAAGAACTTACACCGCAACAGAAAGAAAATAGACTCAAAAGAGCTACTTCGCTTGGCCGAGAACGGTGAAATGCAACATTTGGTTTTCTTCGATGGGAAAACATTCGTTGTCCAGCGTTTCGTAAACAAAAAAATGATCGTGTTTACTTGCCACAGAGGTCAGCTGAAAATGTGCACCTTGCACCAGAACTCAAGCGCCGGCCATGGTGATGGTGTGGGCCGCCATAACAGCCGATGGTCGCTCTCCGCTCGTATTAATCGACCGTGGCATCAGAATACAGGGTTGCCCATATTCGACGGACCCATCTGGCAACGCCATAACTTTTGACAGAGATGTAACATCGTTTAATGACATACCGCGTTTGAAGCGTCAGTCCAAGCAGATTTTTGCCATAAACCAATGCACGCCACGCGAGCGCTCTGAAATTTACATTCAACAGAAGAAGTCAATTGTGAAAACTCAACGTGCTTTTAAAACATTAAAAAATGTGAGAAGTGTGCCTTCTAAGAACAACATTAAGCGTTTATACGAAAAATGTTCGACTGGTAAGGCCATATAAAAGTCGACCAAGGCGATCGGCCGAGAATATCGCTGCCGTACGAGCCAGTGTTGAGAGGTCCCCAAGAACATCACAAAAACGCCGTTCTCAGCAGTTGGGCATGCCTCGGTCCACTTTACAACGGATTATTCGCATTGATTTGCATTTATTCCCGTACAAAATTCAATTGACGCAAAGAATGTTGCCTGCGGACAAGCCTAGTCGATTAGAATGGGCCCAAAGGTCCGTCGAATATGGACAACCCT